TTGCTGCTGCAGCAGCTGCTGCTGCGGCTGCTGCTCCGCTGCCGCTGATTGTGTGGACACGATTCCCCCGATAACCCTGCCCGCCCGCTCCGCCCCGCCCGCCCGCCGCTCCCCGCTTGCTTGCCCGCCCGCCCGCCCGCCCGCCCGACCACCCATTCCCATCACCATCTCACATACCTTCATATAGGCGCTCGAGACCTCCTCTCGCGGCCTACTCGCTGCCTCGAGGGAGGAGGGGAAGACGTAGGGCGGGCGCCACTGCGCTAGCCGTAACTGAGGCCCCTCCCCGAAAGGCAAGTATTAGACCCATCCACCCGAGACCCCTCCCCACCACCCCAATCCCCCCACCCCCTTGCTCCCCTCCCCCCCTCGGGAGGGCCGAACTGAGGCGCCCGAGGGGACCCCGCAATTCCCTTCCCCCCTCGGAGGGGGCCGGACGAGGCGTACCCCGAGGGCCCCACTCTTTCCCTCGCATAGCGGCCACTCTTCGGATCGCTGGTCGAGCGACCCGGGGGATGCCCCGCGCGCCTGACCCAGGCGCGAAAACGAATCTGCGAGGCGTGGCCGCTCACGCGGCCCGATGGGGAGGAACGGGGCGAGTCCCCTCCAACCCACCCGCGCTAGGTCTCGGGGGACGAAGGGGTCACACCCGACGACCTCGGGAACTAGCCGGGGCAGTCGGAGAAGGGGCAACTCCGTGCATTGACGGTGGGCCGCCAGGCCCGCCCCGTGGGGCAGCCCCGGGAGCACATGGGCGGCCGGCGCGACCGGAAAACGCCCCGCCGATATCGCGCAGCTTGGCACGAAAAGGCGACCTTGCGGGGGGGGGGGGGGGGGGGGTCCGAATCAGTTACATCATAGATGCTACCATATGATTCTCCCCAACTCTTGCTCAGCTGTGTGATCCCCGCATCCCCCTCCCTCCCTCCCTCCCTCCCCCCGCACCCCCCTCCCTCCCACCCACTCTTTCCTACGCGAACAGAGCGCGCTTAGCAGCCGTGGGGCCCAAAAATCGAATGTGTGAGTCTGGTGTGAGTCTGGGGGCGAGACCGAGGCGGCGGTGGCGGCGGTGGCGACGGCTCTGCGTGATGCTGCAGCTGCCTGGGTGGCAGCGGCGGCGGGATCACCCCCGGGACGTCGCCGTACACCACGCTACCACCGCCATCGCCGTGGCTCGCCTGCCTCGAGGCTTCGACGGCGAGGAGCAGTGTGCCGATGGTGACGCAAAGCGCACCGACGCCGTAAATAGTGCAGCAACGCGACGTGGCGGCCCGCACGCGCCGCACAAAGGGGCCGCCGGCCCGCGAAGCGTACTCGGGCGGTGCAGAGCGGAAGACAGGAGGGAGAGGTGTCGGCCGGAGCGGATTCGCCGCCACCCGACCCGCCTCGGGTTCCGGGGCAGACGCAGAGTCGACCGCAGCAAACTCCTCCTTGGCGGTCTGTCGGCACCAATCCCCGCCGTCGCGGATAGCACGCTTAGGGCGAGTGTCATCTCTAATGGCGGCCGCCTCTCCCATCTCAAGGGCCTCAACTGTTCCTCTGCCCGCAGCATTGCGAGTAGGCGCCTGCGGGCAAGACCGAGAGAGCCGCGACGCTGCCGGCCGGCCCGATGCGTCTGATGATGCCAGCCGGCCCGACGCGTCGGTAAAGTTGCTAGTGCGGCTGCTACCGCCGGCGGCGTCGTTCAAGTACACGGCCGCGTCCCTCTCTCTTGCTTGCAGCGAGGTCTGTGTACCATGGTCGTCGTCCAAATCGAATTGGGCGGCAGGCGTGTTGGCGCTGTGTCGGAGCAGGCTCAGCTTCTGGCGCGCCCGCTCTTGGATGAGCTCGCGGACGCGCTGCTTTGCCTCCGATACGCGCGCGGCAACCTCGGGGTGCCGCATAGGCGCGCCTGGCATCGCAGCGCCTGTGTCGCAACGACGAGAGTCGAGAGAGGTTCCGACGGCCTGCGGCGGGCACTCTCCACCACGCCCAGTCCCACCTCGGGCAGATCGTTTCGGACACCCCCACCCCACACGCCACAGGCTAGCCCCAGTCTTTCTACGGCTCTGCGAGAGGACTGAGTACTCGATGAATTCAGCCAAACGCTGCGGAATGAAAACAAAACGCGCTGACAAAACAAGAGACGAGGTTCAAGACAATACGGCCGTTTAGCTATTTGAGATCTGAAAGACGATGTGCGGCGCTAGCGGAGCCGGCCGCACGCACCAGCAGGGGGGGCGCCTCCCCAAGCGCCTCCCTCCCCCTCCTCTCGCCCACCGGACAATACTCGCGCTTGATCGCGCTGACCGGGCAGCGGCCGCCGCCGCCGCCGAGCTGCGCCATGTTCCTCTCGGCGCCCGCCACCTGCCCGCCCCCCCCCAGCAGCGCGAACCCGCGCGGCCGGCCCGTCGCGAGGTCCGCCGGCCGCATCGCGTCGTAAAGGTGGGGAAGCTCCACCTGTAGATGCGCGAATCGCCGCTACTTTCGCGGCTAGCTCTCGGCTGTCTCTCGACTATACCTCGGCTACATTTCGGCTCCATCTCGGCTGTATCTCGGCTCCATCTCCACACCAGTACACGGAGGGAGGAAGCGCGCAATCTCCCCATATCTCCCCAGATCTCACCCAGTACGGAGGCAGAGTGAAGCGCGCAATGTCCATCTCCCCATATCTCCCCATACCTCCCCATCTCTCCCCAGACCTCCCCAGATCTCACCCAGTACGGAGGCAGAGTGAAGCGCGCAATGTCCATCTCCCCATATCTCCCCACACCTCCCCATGTCTCCCCAGACCTCCCCAGATCTCACCCAGTACGGAGGCAGAGTGAAGCGCGCAATGTCCATCTCCCCATATCTCCCCATACCTCCCCATCTCTCCCCATCTCTCCCCAGATCTCACCCAGTACGGAGGCAGAGTGAAGCGCGCAATGTCCATCTCCCCATATCTCCCCATACCTCCCCATCTCTCCCCATCTCTCCCCAGATCTCACCCAGTACGGAGGCAGAGTGAAGCGCGCAATGTCCATCTCCCCATATCTCCCCACACCTCCCCATGTCTCCCCATCTCTCCCCAGATCTCACCCAGTACGGAGGCAGAGTGAAGCGCGCAATGTCCATCTCCCCATATCTCCCCATACCTCCCCATCTCTCCCCATCTCTCCCCAGATCTCACCCAGTACGGAGGCAGAGTGAAGCGCGCAATGTCCATCTCCCCATATCTCCCCAGATCTCCCCAGATCTCACCCAGTACGGAGGCAGCTTGAAGCGCGCAATATCCAGCACGAGCGCAGAGTCGGAGGGCGGGTGGTACGCGGCGAGCGGCGAAAAGTGGCCGGTCCCTAGGGGGGGAGATATGGGGAGGTATGGGGAGGTACAGGGAGGTAAGGGGAGATGTGGGGAGGTGTGGGGAGGTGTGGGGAGATGTGGGGAGATGTGGGGAGATATGTGGAGACGGGGAGATGTGGGGAGAGATGGGGAGAGATGGACGTGCACGCGGGCTGCCGCGGGGGGCGAGGAGTGGGAGAAGAATTGATGCTAGCTCTAGCTATCAGGAGTCTGTTCTCATCGTATGTCGTGGGTGAGCTGAGTAGCGGCGTAGGGGAACACCGTCAGAGGGAGAGTGTGCAAATCAGAGTGTGCAATCGGGAGGACTCGGGAGGAAGAAGGACTCGGGAGGAATCGGGAGGACTCTGGAGGAATCTGGAGGACTCTGGAGGAATCTGGAGGAATCTAGAGGCCGGGCGCCGGTCTGGCCCAATGCGGTGCGTAGAAAGGACACGACGAGATGCGGCGGCGCCTAAAGTGTGAGAGATGGGGAGATACGGGGAGATGTGGGGAGATGTGGAAGGACACGACGAGATGCGGCGGCGGCTAAAGTGTGAGAGATGGGGAGATTCGGGGAGATGTGGGGAGATGTGGAAGGACACGACGAGATGCGGCGGCGCCTAAAGTGTGAGAGATGGGGAGATACGGGGAGATGTGGGGAGATGTGGAAGGACACGACCAGATATGCGGCGGCGCCTAAAGTGAATTAGCAGCGGGCAGTGTGCAGATCCGAATCTGCACGCCCGGGGCCAGATGCGGCCGGCGGCGCCGATTCGGAGCAAGCCGCAATCACCGACGCGCGGAACGAGTCGACCGTGCATCGCCCCTCGCCCCAGCGCGGCTGCTGCAGCGCCGCCGCCGCCGCCGCCGCCTCCGCCGCCGCCTCCGCCGCCGCCTCCGCCTCCGCCTCCGCCGCCGCCTCCGCCGCCACCGCCGCCACCGCCGCCTCTGCCGCCGGCCTCCGCCTCCGCTGCCTCCGCCTCCGCCGCCACCGCCGCCTCTGCCGCCACTCC